ACACGCCCCACGGAAGAGAGGGGTGGGGTGAGCAGTAGCTCATTATCATTTAAAGAGACATGCACTGAAACGAGTCGCTGTGAACAGAGCTCTTTTTGACAAGATAAAAAGGGTGTCGTTTTACACGACCACTGAGGAATTTTAACCAAAAATTTGTTACAGACATTTCATGAAGACCCTAAAGAATCATACCAACTTGTAGAAAATGGGCATCTGATGTCCCCTTTAAATATTTTTATGTGACCCTGGACCACAAAACCAGTCTTAAGTCGCTGGGGTATATTTGTAGCAATAGCCAAAAATACACTGCATGGGTCAAAATTATTGATTTTTCTTTTATGCCAAAAATCATTAGGATATTAAGTAAAGATCATGTTCCATGAAGATATTTAGTCAATTTCCTACTGTAAATATATTACAACTTAATTTTTGGTCAGTAATATGCATTGCTAAAAACATCATTTGGACAACTTTAAATGAGATTTTCTCAATATTTAGATTTTTTTTGCACCCTCAGATTCCAGATTTTCCAATAGTTTTATCTTGGCCAAATATTATTCTATCCTAACAAACCATACATCAATGGAAAGCTTTTTTATTCAGCTTTCAGATGATGTATAAATCTCAATTTCGAAAAATTGACCTTTATGACTGGTTTTGTGGTCCAGGGTCACATATTTTCTCTCCCACTTTTGTGCACACTGACTTGCGGCCCACAATACCTTATAATGGTCCAATTACCAATCATTTTAAATGTTTATTCATATAATGTTCTACAAACCAGGATCCTCTAAGGGTCTGCAAATGAGTGTGTGAAAAATAATTGTACACAATAATTAATGTAATAATGTAACACATTGCTTTGGAATGATATTTACTGTGAAATAAACGCTGCACGATACAGTTTGAATTATGATATGATTGTTTTGTATCTCGAGGAAGTTTGCACTCAGGTCCATCACACACACTTCTCCATCACCTGCCTGCTTTGACACAGACACCCACACACAAACACACACACTCTTGAGGTGCGGTGCTGAGTACCGTGTGTGCTGCTGTAAGTGACTGAGCTGTCTGAAAGCCTTCTGGCAGTAGGAGCAGGTGTAGGGCTTGGCACCGCTATGGATGCGGATGTGCTGGGCCAGGTAGCTGGTGTTAGCGAAGGATTTGGAGCAGTGCGGACACTGGTGAGCTTTCACCTCCGTGTGTGACTTGGAGTGCAGCTGCATATCTGACTTATTGCAGAACGTCAAACCACACATCCGGCACCTACAGACAGAAAAAAACACACACACACACACACACACACACAGAAAGCTTTTTTATTCAGCTTTCAGATGATGTATAAATCTCAATTTTGAAAAATTGACCTTTATGACTGGTTTTGTGGTCCAGGGTCACATATTTTCTCTCCCACTTTTGTGCACACTGACTTGCGGCCCACAATACCTTATAATGGTCCAATTACCAATCATTTTAAATGTTTATTCATATAATGTTCTACAAACCAGGATCCTCTAAGGGTCTGCAAATGAGTGTGTGAAAAATAATTGTACACAATAATTAATGTAATAATGTAACACATTGCTTTGGAATGATATTTACTGTGAAATAAACGCTGCACGATACAGTTTGAATTATGATATGATTGTTTTGTATCTCGAGGAAGTTTGCACTCAGGTCCATCACACACACTTCTCCATCACCTGCCTGCTTTGACACAGACACCCACACACAAACACACACACTCTTGAGGTGCGGTGCTGAGTACCGTGTGTGCTGCTGTAAGTGACTGAGCTGTCTGAAAGCCTTCTGGCAGTAGGAGCAGGTGTAGGGCTTGGCACCGCTATGGATGCGGATGTGCTGGGCCAGGTAGCTGGTGTTAGCGAAGGATTTGGAGCAGTGCGGACACTGGTGAGCTTTCACCTCCGTGTGTGACTTGGAGTGCAGCTGCATATCTGACTTATTGCAGAACGTCAAACCACACATCCGGCACCTACAGACAGAAAAAAACACACACACACACACACACACACACACCCCAAGAGGAGGACAGTGGGATGAGAGAAGAGGAAAACATGGGAGAAGACAAAGTACAAATGAGAACGGGACAAAGAGAAAAGGAAAGTTACAAGCCTGGTCCATCAATAGTGAACGGAGAAACATGAGACATAACAAACAGGCAAGAAAGAGACACAACACAAGCAAGAGGGTGAGAGACGAGGAGGTCAGTGAAGAACAATCCAGAAGGAAATCGTAGACTCTGGCTCTAGAAAACAAAGACGAGAGGGACAGGCCAGAAACGCAAGCGCAGATGGGCAATGAATGAGTAACAAAGAGGGCGACAGGAGTGTGTGTGTGGATGTGTGTAGCTGAGGCTGCACATGCTGCTGAAAAAGATAACACTTTCTACTGAAGCACAGCAGACAATCACGCAGATATGCTCTTGCAAAGCCTTGAAGTCAGGAGTGTGTGTAGTATGAAAATAAAGTGGCTTAGGAATCCCTGCCTCTGTCTTTGCCTGTTCTAATAGATCGTAAGAAACAAACACTGAGTGCATGCTGAGCCAACATCCTTAAGAAAAGCCCTACCTGTATGTTTTTCCACCCTCTTTCCCAGCATGCCCTTCTTCTGGGGACAGACTGTAAGGGTTGGCAGAATGATGCTGAAGAGAAAAGGAAAATCAGTCAAAAGAACAGTTACTTAAATCTTAAAATTACTTTGCATATACATTACCATTTGTTAATACTTTTATTCAGCAAGGACAAATTAAAATGATCAACCGTGACAAAGACATTTATAATGTTACAAAATATTTCTATATCAAATACATGCTGTTCTTTTGAAATTTCTATTCATGTATGTAGAAATGTATCAGCTTCCACAAAAATTTTACTATTTTCAACACAGATAATAATAATAAATGTTTCTTGAGCACCAAATCAGCATATTAGAATGATTTCTGAAGAATCGTGTGACACTGAAGCTTTGCTGATTTATCCACGGGGTAAAAGTTGATGAATTCACTAGAAAAAATATATAAAATTTTAAAACCGTTACTTTAAATTGTAATAGTATTTCACAATTTCTACTGTTTCTGTTCAACTAAATGCAGCCATAGGAAGAATAAAAGGCACATTAAAGGGTTAGTTCACCCAAAAATGAAAATTCTGTCATTAATGACTCACCCTCATGTCGTTCCAAACCCGCAAGACCTCCGTTCACCTTCGGAACACAAATTAAGATATTTTTGATGCATTCTAACTCTCCCATAGACAGCAAGGGTACTACCACGATCAACGTCCAGAAACGTAGCAAGGAGATCGGTACGTAAGACCTCCGTTCATCTTCGGAACACAAATTACGATATTTTTGATGCATTCTTGATGCATTCTAACTCTCCCATAGACAGCAAGGGTACTACCACGATCAACGTCCAGAAACGTAGCAAGGAGATCGGTAAAATAATCCATGTGACATCAGGGGTTCAAACGTAATATTACGAAGCTACGAGAATACTTTTTGTGCGCAAAAGAAGAAAAAAAACGACTTTGTTAAACAATTCGCCTCCTCCACGTCACCCTAGCGCCATTTTGGAGAGTATACGCTGTTTGCGTTCAGTGGATACTCTCCAAAATGGCACTAGGGTGACGTGGAGGAGACGAACTGTTGAATAAAGTCGTTATTTTTTTGCGCACAAAAAGTATTCTCGTAGCTTCGTAATATTACGGTTGAACCCCTGATGTCACATGGATTATTTTACCGATCTCCTTGCTACGTTTCTGGACGTTGATCGTGGTAGTACCCTTGCTGTCTATGGGAGGGTCAGAATGAATCAAAAATATCTTAATTTGTGTTCCGAGGATGAACGGAAGTCTTACAGGTTTGGAACGACATGAGAGTTTTCAAACATTTTCATTTTTGGGTGAACTAACCCTTTAAAAATTATCTTATCCCTAACTTCTAAACAGTAGTGTATCTGTGCTAATCGCTTTTTTTTAGTCAATGTCAATAAGGATTTCTCGATATGCATGGTTATCATACCTGTCCTGAAAGACCCAAAATCAAGTGATCTGTCCCAGTAAGTGAGCCAACCAATGGGAGTGTGTCTTTCTTCTTTCTGCCTCGTTTCGACGGTAACGGGATGATAACCGGTGAGCAGGGCACAGAGTCATTTTTCTTGTCTGGTGGAGTCATGCAAGAGTAAAATGCTTTAATTATGTGAGCCAAGACTGATGAGACAATAAAGTGTATCTGTTCCTGGCTCAGGCATACTGCACACTCAAAATTTGCATATAATAATGCCAAGCAACGCAGACAGAGATGTTTGTGAGTTCAGTTCGAACAGGGACCCATGAAGGTCACTTGAAAAGTCAGGTGCAAGTTTTATTTTATTTTTTTGGGAAGGAAATGCTAATTAGCATTTAAATAGCAATATTGTGGCAAAAATCATACAGTGTGCAATGCATGTCAATGTTTATGTGAAATAAGGTGCATTACCAGTCTGGACTGTTATCATGGTGGTAGATGGATGTCCAGGAAAAAAGGACTGAGCAGATGACACTGGAGACACCAGAGTGACCAAACCCGCTAGAAAGAGTGAGGCAGTGATGGAAGACTTATAAAAGTGAAAGAAAGTGCAAATAAACTAACCAGTGAAAACTCTGTAATCATTAGCAATTTAGAATAAACACACATATGATACCTGCCGTCATGATGCCAGTAGGCGGTACTGGCAACACTGTGATACTGTGTGAGGACTGAGATGGTTGTGCATGCTCCTGTTTTAGTGTCCTTGCTGTAGTTGTATCCATGGCACCCCCAGCAACTGCCACCACTGCTGTGGTGGGATAGTGGGCAGGGCCATGCGAGTAGGTGGGGGCTTTGTCCTGACAAAGCTGCTCTTTTACCTTATTGAGAAATACAGCATTCTCAATCTAAAAGCCAAAAACATTAAATTGGGTTAAAAAAATAAAATAAAATCCTACATTTAAAAAATGTATTATTTGAAAAAAATTTTTAATTATTTGATCAAAACTAAAATAAAACTGTAATATTGCTAAATATTATTACAATTTAAAACAACTGTTTTCTATTTTAAAGGGGTCATGAACTTAAAAATCCCTAGATCTTTTGACATAAAAGAGGTCATTGTACTATAAAAACATCCTGTAAGTTTCTCTTTCTTGTTAGTCTAAAAACAGCTTCTATTGAAGGAAATCTGCCAAAACGACAGGTTGTAGAATGTGCCACTTTATGAAGTAATAGTGTGGCTAAATAAGAAGATCAATGCCTGCTTCTACAGTCATGGCCAAAAGTTTTGTCAGTGACATAAATTTGGTGTTTTGCCAAGTTTGCTGCTTCAGTATTTGTATATTATTTTTCCACATGTTTCTATGGTATACTGAAAAACAATGATAAGCATATAAGTTTTTAAAGGCTTTTATTGGCAAAAAAATATAATGAGTCAATATTTACAGTGTTGACCCTTGTTCTTCATAACCTCTGCAATTCGCTCTGGCATGCTGGATATTAGCTTCTGGGCCAAATCCTGACTGATGGCGATCCATTCTTCCCTTATTAGTTCTCGGAGTTGATCACAATTTCTGGGCTTCTGCTTGTCCACTCGTTTTTTGAGGACTGACCACAGGTTCTCTATGGGATTGAGATCCGGGGAGTTGCCTGGCCACGGATCCAAAATTTCAATGTAATGATCTTTGAGCCACTTCTTTATTAATCTTGCTTTGTGACATGGTGCTCCATCATGCTGGAAAATGCATGGATCATCACCAAATTGCTCATGGATCGTTGGAAGAAGTTGCTCTTGCAGGACATTTTGATACCATTCTTTATTCATGGCAGTGTTTTTGGGCAGAATTATGAGAGAGCCCACTCCCTCTGTTGAAAAGCAACCTCACACATGGATGGTCTCAGGATGCTTCACTGTTGGCACAACACAAGACTCATGGTAGGGTTCACTTTTCCTTCTCCGAACAATCGATTTTCCAGATGTCCCAAACAGTCGGAAGGCAGCTTCATCAGAGAAAATAACTTTGAGCCAGTCTTCTGCTGTCCAATCTTTGTACTTCCTGCAGAATTTCAGTCTGTCCTTGACATTTTTCGTGGAGAGAAGTGGCTTCTTTGCTTTTCTTCTTGACACCAGGCCAGTCCAAAAGTCTTGTCCTCACTGTGCATTCAGATGCTCTCACACCAACCTGCTGCCATTCCTGAGCAAGCTCTGCACTGCTGGTGACACGATTCCTCAGGAGGAGATGGTCCTGGCGCTTGCTGGACACTCTGGGACGTCCTGAAGACTTCTTCACTGCAGTCGAACCTCTCTCCTTGAAGTTCTTGATGATCCGGTAAATGGTTTTGCTGGACACTCTGGAACGTCCTGAAGACTTCTTCACTGCAGTCGAACCTCTCTCCTTGAAGTTCTTGATGATCCGGTAAATGGTTCTTTCAGGTGCAATGTTCTTTGTAGCAATTTCCTGGAATGTGAGGCCATTTTGATTCAAAGCGATGATGGCTTCACGTGTTTCTTTGGAGGTAACCATTGCTAACAAGAACGCAATGATTGGAAGCGCTTCTTCCCTCCTTTTATAGCAATCAGTCTGCTCTTACAATCTAATTAGTATGATAGTGATTAACCTGACTAGTACTCATTCACACTTTCACATGTGCTGCTGATATGATCAGTTAATTAATGTTAACTGGTCATTTTGTGACAGGATCAAAAAACAGTGAAATTTTTATTTTTTTTTTTGTGAAAATTTCATTATTTTAGCCAATGAAGCTTTTAGCAATGACATAAAATGCATCTGATCGCTCGACACAATAATCTAGAAACAATGTGAATGAACACCACAACAGCTTAAAAGCACAATATGTAAGGTTTTTTTATTAAAATATCCAAAAACCACTAGAACAGTGTTATATATTTTGCTGACTTGTGTATTTACATTATCCCAAATGTTTCGAAGAATGTTTAAATTCAGAGAAATAAGCAATTTTAACTAGTGACACGGACCGTGTCCATAGTGTCATTGTGTCGCCTGCCAATGACGTCATACACCCTCGATTTCCGGTTTTGTTTTGTAGAAAATATGGAAACACCAAAGACACTTTAATATGTTGTGCGTTTTATTAGACCGGTGAAGACCGCACAGAGTAGCATAATTACAGAACTTTCAAATGTATCTAGTATGATAAAACAGCACTGCTTTTTTCCCCACATACGCACGACCGGAAGGAGTGGAAATGGTCGACTGTGGCATAATAAAAGCTTGCTGCTTTCGAGCCGTGTGTCACGCTCGTTCAGTGGCCTCGTTTCACTTCGATGGCTTTCAGCCTCACCCTGCTTCATTCTACCACGTTAATAAATCATTAGCTCATTCATGAACATGATTTCTGCCCGAGTCCCGTCAGATTGCATCAGCTGTGGGGATGAAGACGACAACTCCCATGATTCCACACTCAGTCACGGCGTCATCAAACTACGCCTTTGTCTATTTGTTTATTTTGAATACGCGCCCTCCAGCGGCGAAAATTACATATTGTGCCTTTAAGCAGCAAACTTTGCAAAACTCAAAATTATGTCACTGCCACAACTTTTGGCCATGACTGTACATCACTGCCTGTTTAGCCCTGCCCACCGATTTGAGCATATAGTGTTAATATAACGAGAGAGGAAAACTAACTAAGGTCTACATGGAAATCAAACGATAAAGATGGCTCTGAAGACAACAAGACACTGTGCAGTTACAAATAGTGGAAAAAAGTATTTGCATCGCTTTCCTTCCGATCCCAACATTAGGAAAGAGTGATCAGTGGATGAACTTTATTTTTAAAGAAGATCCAGACAGCGTCAGTAAGAACTTGGGGCATAAAATTCTAACGTAGACAGTTGAAATGTGTGTATATTGGTGTGCTTACCTGTCCCTGTACAGGAGACCAGAAATATGAAGAATTGAAATGGGAATCCTCCATCACCCCTGACACAAGAAAGAAAACATTTTGACAGGCAAAAATTGAGCACACACTATAACCTTTGACCTTTTAAAGTGAGAGGTTAATGATAGGGACAGCGTTATACATTATATGTTTAAATAAAAAAAGGACCTGTGGGGGATATAATTTGACAAAAGATTCAGAAAGAAAATAATAACAATAGTAAATGCACATTTTTACTAATAAACACTTTCAATAACAATTATATATGGAATTGGACAACATGAGTTATCCAGAAAATGTAATCCAGGAAGAGCTGGTGTCTATCGTATGTATTTATGGTCAACACCGCAACAAATAAATCATGCATTTCGCATTAGCTAGTTGATATAACCCCCCCTCCCCCATACGTGACTGTAATACACTTCATATCACAGAACCAACATCACTCGTGAGTCTCTGTGTTCAGGTTATATTGTTACAGATGCTGGGTTCATAGTAGCTCTAGCGTCTATCTGAGTGCAATGTATCATTTTGTTGCAGAGAAGAGAATGTGCTTTGCTTTATCCTTGATGCACTGTAAAATCATGGTTTGTGATTATATTATAAAATATTAAAATATTTATTTGCAAATAACCCATCAAATCTAAATATCTGAATATAATTGACAGGCTACGGCGAATCTACTGAACGCTAACGAAGGCGGACCTGCAGCCCACAGCACGACAGACCCGCGCATTCACACTACTGTTTAATTAGAATTTAGGCTTACGTGTATACACCTCTTTTTCCTTTCATTTGCGTATTTTGTTTTTTATATGACTGATTGTACTTTAGTAATTGTGTATGCTATGTGACACTTTAGTTACTGTTGTATTTCTATTTGTATTACACTGTGAAATGTAAGAACTGACTAAACTTATTATATTTTAAGTTCAATAAAAAAAAAAAATTTGTACAAAAATAAAAATGTTTGTTTAAATCTCTTAATTGCACGTGTTGCTGTCGCTTCTCAGAGATAATAAATGTCATTTATATTTATGTCTACACTAGAAGCATGCAAATAAAAGAGAAAAAACGAACCGCGTTCTGCTGAATCCACGCGATGTCGCCAGAGATTCAGACGGGTTTGCTTTAGATGCGGTCACAGCTTACGCTCGTTGATTTCCGGCTGACGAGGTTTACGTACTCGTCTGCTTACAGTAACCCTGAGTGTAGTCTGGAATAGAGCTACAATAAAACCGTTAAATCTTGCCTACAGTATCAACCGTGGATTCAGTTCATATAAAAACATCGATGAAAGCATGCACGTCTAACAAAGAGCTTAGTGGCTAATCCTTGCAGTGTGAATTACATCGGCACTGAGTTTGTGTTTACACTGAAGTCAGATGGGGAGGTGAGGAAACTCCAAAAAAGGCAAATTGAGAACTTGGAGATCACAATTTCCCATAATTCCTAGGAAAAAATAAAGGTACAGAATTATCATGCTCTTCTTTACTCACAGGAAATATTTGTGTTCTTACTGCACTTAGAACGGAGCAGAACTCCTGTACATTGAATCTCAAATACAGACCAAATACGTTCAGTTCAGATGAGGACCGTCACACATAAAAAAATCACTCAGGAATGATTTACTGAGTAGAAACATATAATAATTAATGTATTCGGCTAAACCATAAATGAGATTTTCTCTTTTATGAATATCACACATCTTTCACTCTTTGTAGGTCTCAAAGAAGGTGGAGCTTCGCTCCAGATTGGCTGAGCTTCTGCTGCAGCATTCTGGCCCCCAGCAAACTCAAGGGATTGTGGGAAAGGAGGAGGATAAAATGAAAAGACAAGTGTAAGAATGAGCTACTAGGTAGGGAAGAAGAGAGCGAGGTCGGGGCGTGTGAGATTAAACTCTAGACCTCTGCCCATGGCTAGTCCTCCGCTCTCTGGCATCTAGGCAGTGTTGATTCATCATATTTCTTTAAAAAGTCTGTTCTTGGACTCCCACACCCGGGCTTTCTGTCTGGCATATTGTTATTAAATAATATACTTGTTACAACAAAGGTATAACAAGACAAGCAGCGTTTGTTTAACACCTATGGACAGGCGTGAGAATAATTCACCGTGATATTTTTGTGCTTGTTGATGTTTATTTTTCATGATAGCGAGAAGGTCACAGAGCAACATGTTGCCCGTCCTCCTGCGCTGAAGATTGCACGAGAGGAGAGACGAGAGAATGAAAGAAGCGATGGAAGCCAGACAGATGGCAGAGGAGAAACGCATCTCCCCGTCAGCCCCAGTGTAGAAGAACAAGAAGGTCAAATTAGTGCACTAATCACACACACAATTACAGTTACTCGCACAGATGTTGATTACAAGCCTGCGTGTCTTTCACAGGAAGTTCTGCCTTATGGCTGTCTCATGCGATGATATAACAGATGGTTAGTTTATCAGCATTCACAGGAGAGGGAAAAAAATGACCTCAGTTTATATGAAACTGTTTGTTTGTCTTCATACGTCGCAGATGCTGAGTTCAGATCTCGCAAACAAACTTGGGAAAAGGCCAAGTTTCGTCTCAGAACTCTGGAGGGTCATAGTGACATCATCACCTGTGCGGCCGCCGTCGACAATCTTGTGATTTCTGGCAGGTACCTGAACTGATGATGGAGAAGAAAAAAAAGTAAACCGTTTATAACTCTTAACTGACTGTGAAATTACTGACGTACCTGTTAACGCCTCGCTCTTTCTGTTTCTCTCTTCACTGCTTTTCACCTACTGTTTCTACCAATTTAAGTCGAGATACAACAGTTAAAGTGTGGCATGTTCCCACGGCAACGGAGCAGCGCAATTTGGGAGGTCACAGCGGTGGAGTCACCTGTCTCAGTGCACCACCTCCAGAGTACTGCAGGAGATTGGGTACACACACACACACACACACACACACACACACACACACACACACACACACACACACACACACACACACACAGACTCACACTCTCTCAAAAAGTAAAGAATAATTGATCCTGTTGACAGGGCCAGCCGGTTGATACAGATGTAGCCGTGATTGTTCACTCATCTTTTATGCTCTCTTTCTTTTCTCCCACCTCTTTTGTTCCAGCTACTTATGCCCTCCTTCCCATCTGTCCCTTTTGCTCTCCATTATTCCTTGTCTTTGCTGTTTTGACAGTGCATTTGTTCTTCACATCCCTTGTCCTTAGTTCTCCCTTTTCTTGTGTCCTGCAGTCACTCTTTTTTTCTCATTCTCCGTCCTGCTCTCTCTCATTCTCTTGATCTGTTTTCCACAGCACGTGCATTTGACTTGTCTGACAGGGAAAGATTTGTTCTAAGTGGTTCCACAGACTGTTGTGTGAGAATTTGGGCTTTGAGTTTGGGTGAGTCTCTCTCTCTCTCTCTCTCTCTCTCTCTCTCTCTCTCACACACACACACACACACACACACACAAATGTTGTGGGTTGTGGAGCTTCGGAATTATGAATGTACTTTAAATTATTAGGTAGAATTGTTGAATACTAATTTGAATATAATGAGGAAGGCAAATACAAAACTATTTAAAATGTCAGACTTTAATTATACATTGAAATTAATTCTCATCTGATGTTCTGTAATAGATCATAGCACAACCGCTTTTAACATTGATAATAATACAAAATTTTTCTTGAGCACCAAATCAGCATATTAGAATGTTTTTTGTTTTACTGTATTTTTGATTAAATAAATGCAGCAACTGTGAGCAAAAGAGACCTCTTTCAAAAACATAAAAAAATATTTCCATCCCAAACTTTTTTGCTCTAGAACTGCCATTTCACAGACTAGTGCAGAAAGAAATTCACAGGACTATGAAATTGTAATATAATAATGTTTGTTATTACAGTCATTACTAAAACTGTGTGGTTATAGCTAAGTGTATTACATATTTGTTATATACAAATTGTGAAGTGAATATTTTACTTTCATGAAAGTATTTGGTGGTGTTTGATGTAGAATGATGAATCAGTTGGGGAAAAATCTGTTCTACATATCAGAAAATAAAAAGGCATATTTAGTCTAAATTAATGATGTAATTATTTATGTGTTGTTGCAAAACTAAACTAATTTAATTTTTCATTTATGTGACTGTGCCGAATGCCTTTATATGGCAGTTCAGTAAATTTCACCTTCTCTCATTCCGAATCAAATTCCAATTCGACATCCTGTGATGTGTGAGCAGTGTGATTGAAATTCACACTCATGAATCAAAAGGATGCCAATTTTGAATATTGCCAAATCCTGCTTAAAATGTAGTGTAGCATTAGAAATGTATTGTCAAATTACAAATGTCCATTTTAAAATATGATTAAAATTGCAATAGTAAAGGATGGAGAGTGTACAGTAGATGTGCTGTTGTTCTGAACATCCATTATCTGAATCTCAGGAATCAGTCATTATATAACTGGTGGAGAGGGTACTACTCGCTTTTTTTTTGGACACCACAGCTTTTTTCATCCCCTGCCGATGAGGGTGAATTAAACTCAAGTGTGTTTGGGATTTGCATCACATGTTGATCTTGTTATTCCTGCAGGTTTGTGTGTCAAATCCATCTACACATTCAATGCAGTCTCAAGCCTGTGCTTCATTCCTGAAGGAGAGGGCTTCATTGTTACTGGTTCAGGTAGTTATCCGTGTGTGTGAGAGTGAGGTTGAGTTGACCATGTCTTGCATCAGTCTCGACATATCAGGTGTGTCTCAGGCACAGTGTTATTGATCTTACACTAGATGCTGGGAAGCTGCAGGTGTGGAGCTGGAGCTCGCAGGAGAACAGTCAGTCAGTGAACGCACACCTGGACGCAGTTACCACACTACAGGTGGGTGGGTGCCATGGCAACAGAACTGTGCTGGCATCTAGAACTTTCCGAGTCTGCCCTTTAGTGCAGCACATGTTTCAAAAAAAGGGTTGTGCCTCCGCTCAAAGCTGAAGTGTTGCCTGTAGAGGAATCCCTTGAGAACAGTTTTTCTCCTCTGTGATCTTTAAACACAGTCTAAAGTTCACAGAGATGTACAAGCTATTAAATGCCAACATTTAAACATTTTTCTTCTGCAGTTTCTGTCTCATTTTCCTTAGTGATTAATGAATACTATGAAATAAAATTGAGCAGAGCAATATAATATAAAGAAATCAATAGATACTGAATAGAAGTAATTAAATAATGTAGCAATTGAGATAAGAAATAGGTTGAGATAAGAAACAGAATACTGTAGCATCAAACAGCGGTGACTCTCTTTCCATATTTAATACTGTTAGTTGGCATGAGTTGTCATGGAAACACAGTGGCATTTACCCTTCGTTCTCTCCACAGTCCCAGGGTCCTCTGCTGTTCAGCGGCTCCGCCGAGGGATGTGTGTGTGTGTGGGAGGTGTCCGATGATGGGCCGGAGCCCCTCCACAGGTTGCACATCTGGGGGCCAGAAGTCACAAGGTGTAGTGGGGATGACGGGAGGCTGATTCTGAGCCCCCGCGGTGACCGTGTGTTCCTCTCGTGTCGAAAGGCCAGCATACGAATTCTAAATTGGAGAACGGGTAATATATTCAATCTATTCTAATCTAATCTATGTTTAATATTAATATGAATTAGGATTATATTTATTAATTTAATTAGTTAAAAGAACTTAGGATAAAAATATATATATATATACACACACTATATAGTTTTGATATTCGTTCATTTTTTATTATTTATTTTATTACATATACAGTAAAAACAGTAATATTGTGAAATGTATTTACAATTACTGTTTACTATTTTAATATATTTTAAAATGCAATTTATTCCTGTGAATATATCAAGAAAGCTGAATCTTCAGTCTTCAGTGTCACACGATCCTTCATAAATCATTCTAATATGCTTATTTTGATTCTTTGATTAATAAATTAATTAGTTCAAAATAACAGCATTTATTTGAAATAGATTTTTTGTAACAATGTCAAACACTTTACTGTCACTTTTGGTCAATTTAATGCATCCTTACAGAATAAAAAAGTGTTGATTTCTTTAAAAAAGTCTTATTGATCTTAAAAAAAAAACTTAATTATTAAACAATAATAAATATATGTATATAAATAATTTTTTTATACAAGTTTTATGTATATTGAAATATATTTACTTGAATTTACAATCAAATAAATCACTGTTAATCTCATATATCAATATTTGATAAAAGCAGCCCTCAAATTAGGAAAACTAGAAAAAGATATTTCAATGACTACAGTCATGACCAAAAGTTTTGACAGTGACATAAATTGTGTGTTTTGTAAGGTTTGCAGCTTAAGTTGTTGTGGTGTTCATTCACATTGTTTCTAGATTATTGTGTCGAGTGATCAGATGCATTTTAAAGGGGTCATATGATGCGATTTAAATTTTTCCTTTCTCTTTGGAGTGTTACAAGCTCTTGGTGCATAAAGGAGATCTGTAAAGTTGCAAAGACTAAAATCTCAAATTCAAAGAAAGATTCTTTATAAAAGTTCAGAGTCAGCCACACCTACCTAAAACGGCTCATTCTAACACACCCCCACATATCTACCTCACTATGTGGGAAGATTTGCATAACGCCGCCCAAATGTTCACGCAAAGAAAGAAGGCGTAACTTTTATTCTCACTGTAGTATTGTTGACGCTGCAGCCATGTACGCTGTGTGCTTCGTTGTGAAAGCAAAACTACTTTGTTTGGTCTTCCAAAAGAGGACGATATCCACTTCGTCATGCCTAGAGCTTATCTGTGCTGGTCGCTGAGGGAATACATCAACTTTCACCGTGGAGTCCAGCCCAGGGTCCGTCACATGTGGTTGCCACTCATTCGTCGCATCCGCCGGGGTTTTTGTCTCGTCGCTCCGGCTGGGACACGGCATCAACAGTATGTGAGGGGCGTAACATTTCCGTCACACGCTTGAGGTATTCGGCCAATCACAATGCACTGGATAGCTGGCCAATCACAGCACACCTCGCTTTTTCAGAGCGATGAGCTTTGTAAAAATCGACGCGTTTCAAAAAGGCGGGGCATAGAGGAGAAACAATAATGTACAGTATGTGGAAAATAATGTGTTTTTTTTTACTTTAAACCGCATAAACACATTTCATTACACCAAATACACAAAATAATGTTCTTTTTAGCAGCATCATATGACCCCTTTAAATAACTGCTAAAAGCTTCATTGGACAAAAAATTTTTCACAAAAAATAAATTTCACTGTTTTTGATCCTGTCACAAAATGACCAGTTAACATTAATTGACTAATCATATCAGCAGCACATGTGAAAGTGTGAATGAGTACTAGTCAGGTTAATCACTATCATACTAATTGTCTTGCCTTGACTTGACTAATTAGATTGTAAGAGCAGACTGATTGCTATAAAAGGAGGTAAGAAGCGCTTCCAATCATTGCGTTCTTGTTAGCAATGGTTACCTCCAAAAAACAGGTGCAGCCATCATCGCTTTGCATCAAAATGGCCTCACATTCAAGGAAATTGCTACAAAGAATATTGCACCTGAAAGAACCATTTACCGGATCATCAAGAACTTCAAGGAGAGAGATTCGACTGCAGTGAAGAAGTCTTCAGGACGTCCCAGAGTGTCCAGCAAAATCATTTACCGGATCATCAAGAACTTCAAGGAGAGAGATTCGACTGCAGTGAAGAAGTCTTCAGGACGTCCCAGAGTGTCCAGCAAGCACCAGGACCGTCTCCTCCTGAGGAATTGTGTCACCAGCAGTGCAGAGCTTGCTCAGGAATGGCAGCAGGTTGATGTGAGAGCATCTGAATGCACAGTGAGGCCAAGACTTTTGGTATCAAGAAGAGCAGCAAAGAAGACACTTCTCTCCACGAAAAACGTCAAGGACAGACTGAAATTCTGCAGGAAATACAAAGATTGGACAGCAGAAGACTGGTGCAAAGTTATTTTCCCTGATGAAGCTTCCTTCCGACTGTTTGGGACATCTGGAAAATCGATTGTTCGGAAAAGAAAAGGTGAACGCTACCATGAGTCCTGTGTAGAGCCAACAGTGAAGCATCCTGAGACCATCCATGTGTGGGGTTGCTTTTCAACAGAGGGAGTGGGCTCTCTCATAATTCTGCCCAAAAACACTGCCATGAATAAAGAATGGTATCAAAACGTTCTGCAAGAGTGACTTCTTCCAACGATCCATGAGTAATTTGGTGATGATCCATGCATTTTCCAGCATGATGGAGCACCATGTCACAAAGCAAGATTGATAAAGAAGTGGCTCAAAGATCATTACATTGAAATTTTGGATCCGTGGCCAGGCAACTTCCCAGATCTCAATCCCATAGAGAACCTGTGGTCAGTCCTCAAAAGTCGAGTGGACAAGCAGAAGCTCACAAATTGTGATCAACTCCGAGAACTAATAAGGGAAGAATGGATCGCCATCAGTCAGGATTTGGCCCAGAAGCTAATATCCAGCATGCCAGAGCGAATTGCAGAGGTTATGAAGAACAAGGGTCAACACTGTAAATATTGACTCATTATATTGTTTTGCCAATAAAAGCCTTTAAAACTTATATGCTTATCATTGTTTTTCAGTATGCCAATAATAATCTACAAATACTGAAGCAGCAAACTTTGCAAAACACAAAATGTATGTCACTGCCAAAACTTTTGGCCATGACTGTTCAAAAATGTGTGCCGATGAATAGGCCCGCGTTTCTTTTTTTTTTTACTTAATCACACCAAATAAACATGTTAAATCAACATAATCCTATGATCTGCCATCAACACCAATATTTAGTCAACATATTATTTTATAAAGTACTTCTCATGGATATGCAGGATTCTGTTGCAATAAATATTTTACAACCCCCATTGGACCTTCATTTGTTCTTTGACTAAAGGCTATTTAAAAGTTTTATTAATGGAATACATCTTGACTGAGTCTGTTCGCTCAGAGCTGCTAATATAATCTTTGTTAAAGTCCCAGTGGCTCAGAGAACACAGGCAGGAGAGGGGGCTGTTCACCCCAGGGCAGAGGAAAACGTAAAAAAATCTGCCACTTTCTCGTTTTAATCCCGTTTTCTCACAGGATATTTGTGCTAAAGGCCATTATCTCAGGGGAAAACAACAACAACCTGTAAACAATTACATCAGATAAATCAGAGTTACTGGTTGGAGCACAAAACATGATGTGACACTAATCGAGAGTGCTGAGATTCATAATGACCCCAGTTCATCAAATAACTCGTAGCTGGAGCTCTCAAAGAATTAATGAGATTCTTACAGACAAAAAAAAACATTGGTATTAACGGCATAAAACACAGCAAAGTCTGCAGCTATTGACAGAGTTGGAACGGAGTCTATAAATAGACAGATTATGTGAGTTGAATTACTTTTTGTTTGTGGTTTATTTGCATTTCAGTGGATGGATGTTAGATGCCCCTAATAATGCATGTTTGCTCTCTCCAATCATTTGCAGGCATGATGACTAGACTAACCAATCACAGCAGCACTGCTGGTGTCACAGATTGTGTCAATCAAATACCCGGCCTTTTGATTGGCTCTTGTTTTGACATCACTAATGGAGAGAGCACTATTAATCGTGAGTGAATTTAACATTAATTTTATTTTAACACCTCTCGAATGTGCAAAACTGCAAGTTGTATAATCACTCCCCCTTTCTTTTTTTCTTTCTCTCACACTCTTTAAGTGTTCTCTCTTCCCCAGTGCAAATACCTGGTTTCGCTCACCTCTTCAGATCTTCCCAGGATTCTTTGTTTTGCTGCATGGCTAACTGCAAGCGGGGACCATCGTTGGGTCACAGGGGGTCGTGACCTCATTGTTTGGGAGCAGCTTCCTGGAAGTTTCAAAAAGAGGTGTGTTTTTTCAGATACAGCAGTCCTTTCGTTTATACCAAACCTACTACTTCTAATAGATGTACAGCTTCCTGGAAGTTTCAAAAAGAGGTGTGTTTTTTCAGATACAGCAGTCATTTCGTTTATACCAAACCTACTACTTCTAATAGATGTACTTTATAACCCCTTCTGCCCATTACTTATCCCATCACAACCTACTTTATGTAATGTATGACTGTATATATCAATTCGTAGACATTTGCTGACACATAGTTACTAATATAAGACACTCTGCTCAATGTTTCATTTAGTCAGTATATCAATATGTACATCAGTAATGAGATGCTGGCTGGAATATATATAATGTATCTATGGGATGCTTATTAATGAGAAGTCTACAGGAATGCTCCGGGCACAGTTTAACTGACAGTGTGAACCGTAGCCCACATCGAGTGTTGGATGCCGAGCTGATGATCACTTTGTGGAAAAAGTATTGATTTCTTTGCAACTACAATTCTGTAGAGTCTAGAGCTGCAGGTCTCAGCTGGTGGGTTTTAGGGAAAACAATGCTGAATGCAAATAATCAAATGCAACTAGCCATATAATTCTGCATATTTAGATTAGCAAAAACGACTCTCAGGTTTTTAAAGGGGAGAGAAAAGCTTCCCACATTATTTGTTGTTGATGTCACAGACTTTGCATCCTGTATTTTGGAGCTTAATCTGTCACTTGGAAGCTATCCAAATTAGGCAGATGTCAACATTTCATTACTATCAATGTGTATTTTCAAGGACATTTTTTGTTTACATTGCTGTTGGTTTCTGGTTTTAGCAGGTCTTCCAGCCTTGTCAGGCTGGTCTGTTCAATGGTTTTACAGTAGTTTTGGGCATTTTTCACCTGGGCAGACTGGAAGACCAGCTGGTTGCCAAGCTATGTTAAATTCTATTTTAGCCAGATCGGGAGACCAGATTAAATAATCTAAGACCAGACTGGTTTAATTGGGTTTTTCGGCAGAGCAATAAACAGTTTTGGTGCTGTGTTGGGTCACCACTCAATGTCCAATGTACAATCCAAAACCAAAGACTTTGCATTCAATATTTTGGCACTTAATATGTCACTTGGAACCTATCCAAATTAGGCAGATACCAACATTTGATGTAAATATTAATATAAATGTTTAATTTCAAGGACATTTGTGTTTACAATTGTACACACTGCTAGCAAAAACGTCTTAAACCAGCCTAACCTGGTTTGCTGGTCTCCCAGCCTGGTCAGGCTTGTCTGTTGGCTGGTTTCTGGAGTGATTTTGACCACTTTTAAGCTGGTCGCCAAGCAAAACCAGCTAAACACCATCTTGGAGAGATGGGAGATCAGATTTAACCAACTAAAACAAGATTATGCTGGTTTAAGCAGGTTTTGACAGCAGAACAATAAAACAATTTTGGTGCTGTGTTGGGTCACTGTAACTGCTGAACAACTAAAGGTGTAGTCAGGGCTGTCCTTAGGGCAGTGTAACTGATGCGGATCGAGGCCCCCAACCCCCCCAAGCAAATTTTGCTGGGTTGACCTAACAAAACGCTCTCTGGTTTAAAAGTGACTTCTGTGTGAGCAGTGCTTCATGTTTCGCTACACTATTGAAAATAGATCTTTTCATTGAAATGTAGCTAATGTGAAACCTTAAGCCAGATATGAAGAAGATTTTTAAGTTGATCTGCCTCTGCCTAACTCTTAATGATGTACTTGCTACTTCAAAAGTATGTATAATGAAGTCATTCCAAACCCATTGACAGTGCGCTGTTGTCAGCAGAGCAGCTTTGCTTTTTGCTTCAGGCTGAGTTAAACATCCTTCTGTCCTTGTAAACAGTGTGACCCAAGTGCCCTGCACTGACGGTCTTCTGTTGTTTTTCCTCTAGAGGCGATGTCACAGTGAGACGAGACAGCCGATTGGAAGATTGTCTTCTGGAATCCGACAGAGACTCAGATGACGAACAAAGCGAGGGTAAGAGAGAGAGAGAGTCCAAGATGGATGCTTTAACCTGTTTGAAAAACAAATATTTAATTTTTTTTACAATATTTTAACATTTAAAATATTTTAATATATTTTAATAAATGCATATTTTTTATTACTAGGTAAGGCAAGGCAAGTTTATTTATATAGCACATTTCATACACAATTGTAATTCAAAGATGTACTTGCTACTTCAAAAGTATGTATAATGAAGTCATTCCAAACCCATTGACAGTGCGCTGTTGTCAGCAGAGCAGCTTTGCTTTTTGCTTCAGGCTGAGTTAAACATCCTTCTGTCCTTGTAAACAGTGTGACCCAAGTGCCCTGCACTGACGGTCTTCTGTTGTTTTTCCTCTAGAGGCGATGTCACAGTGAGACGAGACAGCCGATTGGAAGATTGTCTTCTGGAATCCGACAGAGACTCAGATGACGAACAAAGCGAGGGTAAGAGAGAGAGAGAGTCCAAGATGGATGCTTTAACCTGTTTGAAAAACAAATATTAAATTTTTTTTACAATATTTTAACATTTAAAATATTTTAATATATTTTAATAAATGCATATTTTTTATTACTAGGTAAGGCAAGGCAAGGCAAGTTTATTTATATAGCACATTTCATACACAATTGTAATTCAAAGTGCTTTACATAAAAAAAAGAAAAAATAATCACAACAATAAAACAAGAAATTTAAAAACTTTGAAAATGATAAAAAAAATTGATTTAAGAGGTTTAAAATTAATTTAAAAC